CTACTATAAAGATTGCAATCAAACAAAACAATTATAATAAAAGATTCGCCACCTTCTGAAGTAATTAAGGCAATAGAACTTGAACGATTTAAGACTCGACTTCTTCGTATTAATTAACATGTCTGCAGCGTTTTTTTTGGAGTGTACAGAAATGGAAAGTCAGCTGCAACAAAGTTGGCGACACACAAAGAACAAGAGCATGCCAAAAGGAAGACAAGGAGGGTGTTGATGATGATGATGCACCAGATGAGTCAGAACCAATTTTGAAATCCAGAAAAAAAAAGTACCAAAGGGCAACTTTTCCAGCTAATGAAATGATTTTACTGGGCCCTATTTAATGCAGGGAATAAGGAACCTCTACATGAGTCAGAACCAAAGTAAACTAGCTAAAATCCAGCTAGTGATATGTATGAACATACAAAATAAAAAAATTCTTCAGATGAATCAGAATGGAAAAGAACTTACTCTTAAATCCAAGGCAGACTTTTCGAGCTAATAAAGTGATTATGCTGGCTCTACTTCTTATAATTATGGGACGGCTTATTAATGGAGCCCGGATTCGGATAGAGAATCTCGTCGGGTTGGTGGGCTCTGCGTGATGATCTCATCGATTGCATCAGATTTCGCACGGCATGTCGTTTTATGTGGCCCGCAATTTTTGTTCTCATTTTTGCTGCCCCTTTTTTTTGTGTGTTTTAATGTGCAAAAGACATATGCAGAATATTCAAAATTAGCTGTTAGCACGCCAACAGCCACCGCTATCAACTTCAATGCGAAACAACGCTTTTAAGGCGAGCCAACGAAAAAATAAATGTTTCATGGTCAATGCCATGAAATTGGTTGCATTGGACGCTTGACTGACAATCGTTGACAGCCCAGATATAAACTCGAAAATATTTATATGTATGTATAAAAGAGCCCCAGGCATATAACTCCCGCACAGGTACCCTCGAAAATACAAAAAATCACTGCGTGTGCAGCAAATTGATTGATCTACACACCAAAGTGGTTGCCGACTGTGGCGAATCAATCAATTGACAAAAATTGAGAGAGACAAAATACAGATACAGATATAAACCCTCTTAATTTGCCTCATTTCTTTACCCCTCGTTTGACATCTCCATTTCAAAGCTAAGAAAAAAAAACATTCTTGGGCGTTGTCTGGCAACAGCTTTTGTGTGATCCAGATACAAGCCATAAATAATGAGATTTACATATGAATCAGTAACTGTTCAACATCTATTAGTATCTGCATATATCACGCTCTCTAATGATCGTCTAAATCCAGTTTTAAGCCGTCGCCTTTCGCCAGTAATGAGGCTTCGGCATCCCCACTTCGCCAGCATTGACCTCTCATTAAGCCTGAGCGGCGAATTTTAAATTTGACTTTGTTATTGCAGCAAGTGTTTTTATTTCGCGTATTTTTCTTTTGCATTTCAAGTGGGTTGGGTGACGTCAGCCGAACTGAGTACGAAATCAAAGCAAAATTCCGAATTATCTAAACCAAATACCATTTTTTTAAGACATCTTGGATCATTTTGTGTAGTTTTATTTGAGTTAATTAAAATATCTAACAAATATTTGCTTGGAACTTTTGGTTATTAAATACAAATATTTATTTGTTTTCTAATAATAAGTTGATCGGTGAATTCGAAAATAATAAAATCACACAAAAAACCTTACAAAGAAAAAACTTCCCAAAATGAAGTTGATAAAAAATATATAAAAAATTAACTGACTAGTTTCATTAGTGATTAAATTTCGTTTTTTTTACAATAAAGCTTTGATCGCATAACAGTTAAGTCCGCCTTATTTATACACATATCTTAAAACGCAATATTTAAATGTTGTTTCAAAAAGTAAATGATAATATGAGTAGAGGGAGCTTATCTTTAAGGGCTGTGAAGTAATTATAAAAAAACGTTTGTCGGATAAAAAGAAACTTCTAAATAAGTTGTACAACTTGAAGGCCGACTTCCAAATTCCAATCTTCATTTGCAAAGCAAACACAAATATCGTATCTATGCATCGGCCAAAAACAGCGATTATGGCTTGCCAAACGATATCTTATCATTGAAATTTCAGCGCGTTACGTAGGCCAGGGCCATAATTCGATTCGATTAGTCAGAGCCAAGAATAAAAACAGACTGGGCCAAATAAACCCCGATCGAGACGGAAACAAATCGAGGCAAAGGCGATGGAGTAACGGAAATCATAATATAGAACTCAGGTGAAACGATTACGACAGGGATGCCGAGCAGACGGTGATGACAGCGATATTTATTTGGCCGAACATTGGGTGATGCCCATATATATGTACAATGGACATATATATATAGACGGATCGAGTACATATATTTTATTGAACAATGCACAAACAAACAAACAAAATACGACTTTAAGGCAAAAGGCCAAAATGTTTATGTATTCGGCTGCCTCGACGGCATCGCAACACATTTGGGGTCGATTAATCGAAGGAATACAGGAAGTTTGGCCAATAGCCGGGGGCTGTTAAATCGTCTGGGGTGGCTATATCTATCATCTGCTGTAAGTTCTGGACAGCCAGCATTCACTTACTTTTTCAGCAAACTCCTCCCGCGGACGACGCGAAATCGTTGGTCCGGCACTCATGAGTTCCTTGGTCGGCGATGGTGTCATTATAACAATTATCTCTCCCCTCGTCGGTTATCGTTTATGAATTGCACTTGCTGCTATTATTAGTCGGTTCTAGTTACAAAACTCACTTGGGACCTCTTCACGTATTGCTTTCGGTTATACTTTATTTTCTATATATTTCTTGGCTTTTTTACTTTTTTACTTTTGATTGGGTTTGCGTGCTGCGGAGTAAATTAAATTTATAACAACATTTTATCAGTCGGCCAATTGGTTGGTCTTTCAGCTTTGGTCTATAAACAAATTATTACGTATCCGTTGAAAAATGTCGCTAGCGTGAAACCGTTTTTGCCACTTCACTTGCTTTTGTTTTGGCCTTTTATTAATTACCGGTCGGAGCGTATTATTATTATATATATTTGTACAGTGGATATCGGTGTGGTTTAAGTATTAAAAACATTTAAAAAAAAATGTAATTTCTTAATATTTCTTTCCTTTCAAACTGAACTTAAGTAGCTATTAAGGTATCCTAAAATTTTTACAAAGTTATTTAAATTTCAAATTTCAAAACTTAAAAAACCACAAATATTTGTTATATTGGTACTGAGTTTGTGGTTTTAAACTAGTAGAGAAATAATTTGTGTGCAATATAATCCAACTCAACCGGTAATGGAAATAATCCATACTTTACTTATACTTTGTTCATCAAATCAACTTTTAAGTCATATTTTCTAGCAACTTGATGGCTGTAAAGCGATTTGCTTAATTGAAATTTATTAGTTATTTATGTTAAGCACAATTTGTAGTCTTAAATGGAAAATCAGACGTCAAGAGTTTATCAACCGATATTTACTGTATTGGCAATATATTCCCAATTACAGTTACAATTTGAAAATGCTAATGAGTCAAAAAGTTAAGATCATAGGCAAAGAATGTTGTCATTTGGTTATTTTTAGAAGTCAACGTCACAACGTCACAAAAAAATAAAAAAAAAAAGGTGAACCGGAACGCTACCAAAAGAATGTGGTAGTTGTTGTTGCTGAACGTTGATTGACCCCGAATATAGGAAAGAAGAAGAAGAAGAAGCAAAGCCGGCCGGTCAATTAATTGAGTTCTTTTTTGTTTTAACTAACTGCTGGTTTTTCTAGGCTGCTTTTATCTGCCCTTTTTTATTGCCAGTTTCTTAATGTTTCCTGCCTTTTCCAATTCGACCTTCAGAGTATTGCAATTCTAATTGGAATTCAATTTCTGTACGAAGGGGAAAGAAGAAGCAACAGTTTGTTGAAGGAGTCGCACGCACACACATACATATAGACATTTAAGCACGGCTCACACGCACACCGGTTAAACTTGTTATCGGCCGCATGCAAGAACCCAAAACTACAACAACTATAAAACTCTAGGCCAAAAACAAGTTCTGGAACAGCAGCAGCAGCAACGACAACAACAACAACAACAACATCACCGGCACTCAAGTGTTTTATTTTGAAACATGCTCCTTTGTTGCTATTTTGTGGTAGGTAATTTAAAAGGGTACAAAAAGCAATGCACACACACACACACATGGCACACACCACACTCACTCGCTGCCGCGCAAATTAAAAACAAACGAAAGTAAATCAACGTAAAAACGAAACGAACGCGATCCGCCGACGCGCTTGTGCTTCAGCTTTTTTCAGTTTTTTTTCGAAACTGTTGCGGCGGTTGGCCAGTGTGGACGCACTTGGCCAAGGGAAAGTTACCAAACTTGCTTCAGTTTTAAATCCAGAAAAAAAATACATAAATACCAACTCTTTTTTGAAAATAGATTGCCGAAAAAATAACTTTAAGGATCCTGGTTGTACCCTGCAAATTTGGATATCATATTGGTATCTTTTACTTACATATTCTAACAAATTAGAAAAAACTCTATTATGTTTAAATTTTTATTTAATTTTCTATACTTTTTCGAAATATGGTTTAATTAAAAACTAAAGTATGTTTAAGAAAAATCTTAGTTTCCCAAAAACCATTTAATCTTATTTTAAACAAAATCCATTTTATTTTAAAATGTTTAATAATTAAAGTAACTTGAATTATTCAAAGATATATAAAACTTAAAAACCTACATACCTATTTAAAAAAAACAAAATTGATTCAAGAAATAAAATTTTACCATTATACTTTTTTTTTAAGTTTAAAGTTTTGAAAATCTTATTTACCAAGTGCTGTAACAAAAAGGCGATTTTGTTTTCAATATTTTGGCATACAAATATATTACTTTTTGTTAACGAATAATATAGACAGCTTTTTTTTTTGTTCCCAAGTTTTCGGTATAGGTTTAATTTATGTGTTAGTGAAAGACAATAAAGTAAAAAGTGCACTTTTTTGACTAATAAAATTAACGCTTGGCGTGCATGGATTCGTTTATTGCGATTGGCACAGTACACAAGTGGTTACGAGAAACTAACTGCCAACCTTCGGCTGCTCCGCTGCTCGAATTTGTCCCTGCAGCTCCTGGATGTGCTGTTCGAACTTTTGGATGTCGCCGGTAATTTGCTGCAGACTGGTCAGCACGTTCTTGAGCTTCTCCCCATCGATCTGGACCTCCAGCTCCCGAATCTGCTTGGTCACGTTTCCCGTCAGCGAGACGCACTCGACCAACTCACTGCAATTGGCATGAAGCTGGGCCAACAGCTTGTAGGCCCTCTTGGCGTGGAGGTCGTGCTTGGCGCTCTGGAAGAGCAGGTCATCAGTGTAGTTAAACTGACGCTGCAACTGGGCCCCCACCACGTTGAGTTGCTTCTGCAGTTGCCGCGTGTCGTCCAGCACCTTGTAGATATCGGCCCGCTGCTTACGGATATTCCCAATGAATTCGTGTATCCTGCGGGTGTACTCCTTGCGAGGGGCCAAGGATTGACTGGCGCTTCGCAGCGTGGCATTGAGTTCGTTGTGCTGCTTGGTCTTGGCCTGAAGTTCCTGCTCCAAGTGCTCGATACTGTTGCGGATTCCCTGCACCTCCTGCGCCTCCTTGGCGGTCTTCAGCTCCTCCAGTGTGTCCAGCAGCGGTTTCCTGTAGTCCAACCACTGCTGCGTGAGGGTTTGCCTTTTGCTTTGAGTGCTTTTCAGCAGTGTCTCCAGTTTGACCAGGTTCTCCTCGGGGTCCGCCAGAACCAAGGAGGTGCGCTCGTGCAGCTTCAGCATGGGTTGAATGCGACCTATCTCCTCGGTGGCTTTGGTTTCCCGCAGCTTAAGAGCTGCCAGAGCCGCAGCATGGGATTTACGTTCGGTTAGCAAGGTGTCGCACTGGACACGCAATTCCTGGACTTGGTTGCTCAGCTCCTGGAATGGAGAAACCTCTGCCTCCGCACTGGCAGGCGACTGTGTCGGGGCAATTATGGGCGCCTCAGACTCTTCGCTGTCCACAAAGAGAAGCGTTGAGTCCGGCAGGGCCTGACCCCATCTGTCCAATTCGTTCTTGTGCAGCACCGAGGCAATGAGATCCACCGATTTGGAGGCCGTTTGCTGGAAGAGATTAGGCGCCAGCTGGTCGAAATACTGCTGCTCCTCCTTGGTGCGCTCCTCGGGATTGGCGGATGGAATGCTGAGATTGATGTGTGGCCGGAATTCGATGCCCAGGCTGCTGCAACCGAGGGATTTGCGATTGCCCACCGATCGGGCGAACTGTGGCACCCAGGGCGTCTTGAGTTGCTGGGTCAGCTCCTTCCGGATTTGCCGCTGCAGGAGTTGCCTGTGACTCAGAGCTTGCATTTTGCCCGAGGCTCCGTCCTCCGTCGTTTGGCGCTCCCGTGGAAGTTGCTCGATAAGGAACATTAACAATTTACGGAGTTCCACGGCATTGGGATAGAGGAAGGTCTGGTAACCGATGTCGCCTCGGTAGCCACTATCCTTGCATCCCTGCGCCAAGGAGCTGGCCACTCCGAAACGCTGCGCCATCGATCCGCCGGGAAGTGTCCTAGGAAGCTCCAAGTCAGGACGAATCTCAGCCAGGCAGCCGGATACGGCCCTCACCACCTGCTCCGGCGTGAATTCGGCCAGCTCCTCCGTGGGCTCGATGGTCGCGTCCACCTGTTGCAGCTGGTGCATGATTATCTTGTCCACTTCGTCCATGATCCGCTTTATTTATTATTTATTTCGCATTTTACGGGGAGTGTTGTCTTTTTTTGTGACCTGTTTGTGGCAGTCACCGCGATGCGCCAACAAGTAGACAGTCTGGCAACGCCCAAAGGTTAGGACACGCAAGTGTGGCAGCACGTTTCAGATTCAAAATGTAACGTATGTTTAAACATGCAAATGAAATATATTTTTAACATTAATCTATGCCTTCGACACTCTGAAACAAAATGGATAGTCTTTTTCATTTAAACATCTAACTATAATCTCGATTGGAAAATAAAATAAAATCAATACTCTTTTAACGAAATGTATTTCTATGTACTTTCTTCAAAACAATAAAAGTATGGTTAACATTTTAAAATAAATATTTACAAATTAAATATATTTATTTATTTTGTTTTTTAATAAAAAAGTAATTAAAATTGTCTATTCTTGGTCGCCCTTTAAATTTGTCCCTGACACTTGGGGTCTTAACGTCATTATTATTTAACCAACCCTTCAACAGTGATTGAGTGAAATTTCGCTGATATATTTTATAGCAGAGTGGACAGAAAATCGTCTTTGCGAGCACGCAACCCGACCACAAAGTCTAATTGAATTTGCACGGCATTTATTTGCAATATAAATGCGCCATCCCAGCGAACGGTCATCAGGTTAACCGGTATGGAAGCGCTGTGCAACGCCAGCGAACCGCCTCTGCGCCCGGAAGCGCGGACGTCCGACGGGGAGCTGCAGTTCCTCGGCTGGAACGTGCCCCCCGATCAGATTCAATACATTCCGGAGCACTGGCTGACCCAGTTGGAACCGCCCGCCTCCATGCACTACATGCTGGGCGTCTTCTATATATTCCTCTTCTGCGCCTCGACGCTGGGTAACGGCATGGTCATCTGGATATTCAGTACATCCAAATCGCTCAGGACTCCGTCCAATATGTTTGTGCTCAACCTGGCCGTCTTCGACCTGATCATGTGCCTCAAGGCGCCGATCTTCATTTACAACAGCTTCCATCGGGGATTCGCCTTGGGCAATACCTGGTGCCAGTTATTCGCCTCCATCGGCTCGTATTCGGGCCTCGGAGCTGGGATGACGAACGCGGCCATAGGATACGATCGTTACAATGTGATCACCAAGCCAATGAACCGGAACATGACCTTCACCAAGGCGGTGATAATGAACATTGTCATCTGGCTGTACTGCACGCCCTGGGTTGTCCTGCCGCTGACGCAGTTTTGGGATCGATTCGTGCCAGGTGAGAGTTAGAATAGTACTGAGGGTAACTTCTAAAAAGTTGTAATTGTGGGAAATATATGCAAGTTCCAGAAATATCTTAAGGACTTTGAAATCACTCTTAAAGTATGCAGTGAAAAAATAACTTTGTCTGACGTATTCAGTTCATAAGACTTCCGGACTTAAAGTATAATATTGCATAATCTTAGGTACCTTTAAATCTTATGTGATTTCACCTTTAAATTTTGTGCTTTATACCCTTGTCTATAACAAAAAAAAAACATAAATTACTCTATTTTTTTTTTTAAGCTTCTGGACTTAACATTTTTTGTGCTATATAAAAATCTTGAAGGGGTTAACTAACTTAAGTACCTTGAGATCGGGTGCCAATACAAAAATAGGCGTTAACATTGGATTTATTTTCCTTCCCAACTGTCAAGTTCTTTAAACTATTACTAAAAGTTTCCCTATACCTTTAATTTCCTTTACTGGTGACAATTTATGACTCTTTATATAACATTTTTGGACATATAACAATTGCAAACGGTTGAAAGCTTTTGTTCCCATTTCGTTCCGTCTTGTAATAAAGGACTCTTGATGGTTGGCGAGAAAAATGTCCAGAGACCACGTTTTCCCATCAAACTCTTGAAGTTCTCTCGAATGCCCAGGTCGTATCTGCCATCCCTTCTCGTGTAGAATGTGGTATTTAGATATAAAGTCGGAAGTTGATAGGCTAACATCATTAAGGGAAAAATGAAGGCATATACGTTGAGCACAAATATTAAATTCAGCACGATTGACAGGTGATCAAAACCACTTTGAAAGAATTGTCCATTAAGATTCAAAAAATGGAACAGCAAATACATCCTCCGCATGTCTTCATTAATCACGAACAGAAGCATGTGGCTTGCCATGGCCAGACCCGTTCCAATGATCAAATAGACTGTGAACCAGAAGAAGTACCTACAGAAGTAGTTTTGGTACATAAAATCATGATTAAAATATTAATTATTAATATTACCTATAATTATTATGCCCAATGCAAGTGGCTGTAAAGACACAGTGGTGGTCCCTTCTCAAAATGCAGCAATTACACAACTTACAGTGCCAGGATCTGGGCTATTTAAAGAAAATAGGTTTTAATAAGGGTCTGGCATATCCTCCATTTCTTAAAGCTTTTTGGAGAAATTATTATTCATGTGTTTTTTTGTATCCAAAAACCAATTACTAAAAATCGGCATACAAAGAAATGGAATATTTAATATATCCATTTCCTCAAAGATTTTTACATTTATAATATACTTTAAAATGTGTATGGTACAGAAGAACACATTTCGGTCCCAATGAAGTCTATACGTTCTTGATCAGTATATTTATTTTGTGATTAAAAAAAAAATGGGGGAAGCAGATACCAATCTAATTTCGATATGAAAAGCTTACCGGCACTAACATCTGGCAGTAGTCGCAATGATGCCACAGGTGCTCCTCTTCCGGAGCCGGGATCTGGCGGTCCTTGGGTAGATTTGCAACTGACGAGCTTGTGCGGTGACAGGCTAGCATATTTCCCAGAATATTATAGACTATGAATATGGCCAGCAACCAAGTAAGCTTGTACATCAGTCCATCGGGGTCGAAAATCATGGGCACCACATAGAACATTTCCACCGTTGTAAAAAAGGCGATGCCCGCCAGGACCAACCCCACAGCGATGGGATGTGCTGTCAGCCTGAACTGCCTTGGATAGACCCTAGCTATATATTTACAACCAACCACTATGAAACACATTTTGGCGGTATAAAAACAATGATAATTTGAGCAAAATAGCAAGTTCTTAGTTGTGTTATATTTGAAATTTGTGACAGATATCACAGTGCAGAAAAGATGTAATATATTATTTGCATCACTATAATTAACAAATAGCTTTATGTAGCATAAGACTTTTTAATTGTTCACTTCAACCTACCACTGTAGATTAAATTTTGAGAGTAAATCTTAATATCAGAGGCAGAGTCAGAATTTCGTAGTGGAGGATTTTAAAATTCTTTAATTGGTGGTCAGTGATTTCTTTTAATTTTCCAAATAAATGTATCTCGTAAACAAGTTTTAGGGAATCCATTGGGCACATACAATATATTTATTTGATATGCATGTGTATATACATATATGAGCACATTGACAGCTATCAAATTGGGTAGAAGTTCGATATTTGAGGGGACTAAAGATCCTATGTGCTTAGTTAAGGATTTCACTGGTGTCCTGCACTTTTCTGATGACCACGTTCAGGGCCAGATTGCCGTCCTCCGAGAAAAGCTCGACGGTGGACTTGTTGAGCACCAGGAAGTCGGCATGCGTGAACGAGACGAAGCTCTCACGGATTGATCTTGGCTTGGACTGCCAGCGCAGGGTGCGATTGTTGGCCTCCAGCGAGATGTTGTAGACGAAGTCGGCCGCATCCCTCATGGTGCCGATCATGCGACAGGCGGTGAAGTACTGCTGACATCCCTCGGCCAGATTGATCTTCTCCAGGGAGAGCAGGAAGTGCCGTCCGTGGCAGGACTGCACCATGGTCCAGTCGAGGGCGCCCTCCAGATTCACGTTGGTGGCCAGGAAGATGATGTCGTTGCCCTCCATGGTGATCACGTTCTCGTGGGTGCTCACCAGGTGCTGGTACACGGCACTCAGCGGCCCCTGCCAGACGCACTTGTCATCCGGATAGGGGCAGAAGTACGGCCGACAGTCGCAGTCCTCCTCGTGGCTCCTCTTCTCCGCATACGAGAGCCGGGCAAGGCAGCCGGATTGCGAGTGCTTGCAGGGGAAGATCAGCTTGGAGGCCACCTTCTCCATGGCCAGGCTCCGGATGTTGGTCATGGACACCCGGCAGACGGGGCACAGGGACACCTTCTGGCGGCAGGTGGCGCAGATCAAGTGGCCACAAGAGCACTGCATAATCGGTGGCATTATGTAGCTGAAGCACACGGGACACTCGAGCAGCGAGACCAGGAACTCGTCCAAGCCCCCCCTTCGTGTTGCCTCCAAAGGCCTCCGACGCTCGGCTCCCGACTGAACCATCACCTGGTTGTCATTCCGCAAGGTCACCAGTTCGCCTCCCACAGTCGTATCTGGGGATTCCTGCTTAGCCACCATAAGTGGCGTTCCCTCCTCCAGCGGAATGGCTAAAGCCGAAGCCGATGGACGACTTGTCAACATCTCACCAATCACAGTTGGAGGAGTCCTTGATACACTTTTGCGATCCTCACGGGACTTTAGCGCTTTACTTAGGCTCCCAAAAGGCATCTATTCTTCAGATGAAATACCAATCTCTATTTAACAACCAAATGAACTCAAAAGACTTTCCGATATATAATTTTTTTACTATTTTCTAAACACTGAAATTTCGTTCTGTTTTAAAAACTAATCTGTATTGAAAAGCATGGAATCTGTAAGGACACACAGTTACTGCACTGCCAGAGCCTACTTCCTAGAATGGGAGCTTTATCAGCCGATTTAAAACTAAATTACACATTTTTTTTTATTTAGCATTACAAAATTAGAAGAACTAAATCTCTTTTAAATCTAAAATAGTATCATTTATCAAAAATGTTAAACTAAGGAACAAATTACCCGGTTAATAATTTAAATTCTAATAAATGACTATCTCCACATCAAACTAAATATTTCCAGTAAATGAAACGAAACAGCTTTTTAATTATTAAAAAGTTTTACGATTCTTAAGCTTTAAAAGTTGATGTTTTCTTAGTAAAACCCCAGTACTCAATCTTATCATGATGCTCTCAAAATTAATAACTTCATACAAAATTTCGACAGCTTAAAATTTCAGTTTCCCATATAAGTTTCAATAATTAACAAACTCTTTGTTTTTTACTTTTACTAATCACGTTTATTTCACTTTTGTAGTTTTGTGTCTGTGTAAGTGATCTCGTATGGTAGTGGCGCGGTAAATCGGCGCATTAAAAGCTAATTACGGTGCAGATGCTTAAAATCATTTATTTTTCTTCCGTTTTCAATTGGGAAACGCTGGCGGATAGAAATCAAAACCAAGACATGAGCCGGGCAGGGGAGATCGTCTAAACTAGTTGGAAATTTAAACATTAACATTGCTTCTTTTTACGTTTCGAGATGGGAGGGACAATGGGGAGGGGCGACTGTCTTTTTAGCATTGCGAAAAAAAATGGTTTCGTTTTTTTTTTTTGTGTTTAGTTGTTACTTGTTTTTTTGCGATGGTTTGGCATGAACAAAATTGCGGGTCGCAGTTTCGTTTAAGCTGCAACTCTCAAACAACTCTCGAGTTATTACAGATTATCGCTATCAAATATTACTTTTCTTTGTTGTTTCGCTTTTGCCGCTATTGTTGTTTTATAAGGTTTGTTAATTTCGTTAATCTGTTCATTTACTTATTACCATTTACATTTATTGTATAAAATAATTTACATTAACTAAACTAGACTTTGCAGTACATGTTCGAGTGTGATGAGTGACCTTCTCGCTTTTTGTTTTTTCTTTTGCTTTTGCCGCTGTTATTGTGGTGAGTGGGTCTGTGTTCTCAGTGTTCAGTGTTCACTGTAGTGGGTAGTGGGTGGTGGGCACGTGGGCACGCGCAGGCAGCTCTGCTCCAGGTGTGTGGCCCTTACGAACTAAATTAAACTAAAGCAGAACCCCACGAGCTTACAAAACGGGTAACACGGAAACGTTGAAATATAGTGTGTGTGGTAACTGAAAAATCAAGTCCTACAACTAGAGTACCAATCGAACCGTTTAGACATACAAACATACAGGCCTGCTCCGATTTTCACATTCGAAAAGAGTTACTATGTTTATCTATGTTAAACAAATCAGCGAAATCTCTATAGAAGTATTTGACATTTTTTGGCAAATTAGCAATTTTACTTACAGCCATATCTAATTTAAATAAAACAAAATACTTTAAAAAAAAAGGGAAAGTACGCATTTTAGCCAAGACTTTACCTGTCTGTGGCAATAACTTTTATATGCTTTCCATTTTCGTTTGGAAAGATTTTAAAGTTTTATCTAACTATTATGTGTGCGCAATCAGGGCTAAAGTATAAAACACTAATATTTTCGCCCAATTTCTAGTAACAAAGAACCAATTGGCGATATCAGGTCAAATGTGAAGATCGAAACAGCCCCGATATTTCCATAGATATATATACATATTCATGTAGGTGGCTCTTAGAATAGAGAATCATTTTTATAAAACAACTCTGCAAAACTCTCTCTCTTAATCTCCCTACTCAAAATCTGTCCAAGAGTTGAACGCCTGATGCGAACAGAGGGCTATAAACTATATGTATATATATGTATTGGAAAAGTAAACACAAAAAATAAAGAACTCGGCGAATTGACAGTGCGTTTAGACCAGGGATATGGTCACGTTGATGCCCAGGTTGCCATTGTCGGCGAACAGTTGCGCAATCGACGTGTCGAACACCAGGCAGTCCGAGTTGTGAATCGCGGAGGCCACACCCTCGTGGATCGAACGCGGCATGGCCTCCCAGGTGAGCCGGCGTCGATTTCCGTTGAGCTCCAGGCGATACACAAAGTTCTCCGCCTCCTTGCGTGACCCAATCAGCTGAACGATGGCAAAAAACTGCTGGTGGCCGTCGTACTTCTCCTGCTTCTCCAGCACGAGCATAAAGTGATGGCCGAAGCAGGACTGCATCATCACCCAGTCGACGGCGCCGGGCAGGTTGATGTCGGTGGCCAGGAACACGATGTCCTCGCCCTGCAGCGTCGTGATGCTCTTGTGCGACATCATCAGATGCTGCATGACTAGGTCCAGCGGGCCCTGCCACTTGCAGCTGGCGCCCGGGCACGGACACAGGTAGGGCCGGCACTCGCACGTCTCCTCGTGCTCCGTCTTCTCCGTGTAGACCAGCGAGGCGGTGCATCCGTAGCCGGAGTGCTTGCACGGAAACTTAACGTTCGAGGCAACCTTCTCCATCGCCAAATTGCGGATGTTCGCCAGCGGGCCGCGGCAGGTGGGACAGCAGGTGAGCTTGGAGCGGCAGGACACGCACACCAGGTGCCCGCTGGAGCACTGCAGGATCGGCGGTAGCACATAGTCAAAGCACACGGGGCATTCGAACAGCGAGGTCAGATCGGCGGACATGCCCGCATCACCGCCGCCGGCGGACGACAGCGACGAGCTGGACGACGAGGATGTGTTGGCCGAGGATGTGTTGCCGGCACTGGAGGATCCAGTCGAGCTGCTCGTGTTGGTGGCCACTCCCGTGGCACCGGCTCCTGCTGCTGCTGCTGTCGGTTCGCGGCGCTTCGGGTTGATTTTATTGGACATTGGAAGGGTTCTCGCGGCGGCACAAATGTGTCTACAATTCTTCTGGGTCCCTGCAATCCTCGCCAGGTTCAGGTTCGGCACCCTTCCGGTGGCTCCGGCAATGGCTCTTTTGTGCGTTTGGCTGCAAATAACACAATCACAAAGTCGGTGAGTAATGCGGCACATTCAGTCGTCATATCAAATTGTACAATATTTATAAATTGGTAGGGTCAGTGATAAGAAAAACGAAGAATGTTATTATTTTCGTACAATACATAGGAAGAAAAATATACATACGTAAAGTAAAAGGTTAACTATTCGCTTAGTAAGCAGTACAGCCAGTATCAAGGCAAAATTTGTTTAGTCTTATTTATATCAATGAATAATAAAAATCACTAGTCATTAGTACCTGCCTAATAAAAGTAGTTATGCTGTACAAACTTTGTGCAACTCCTTAGATAAGACACAGTGATTAATCATGCCCTGACCTTAACCTTGCCGCGAATTCACAATTGTTGTCATTACCGAAAAAAAAAGAAAACACACGCATTTGCGTGTATGGGAATTGCATTTAAGCAATTATTTTAAGCGGAACGTATCGAACTAGAGTTGGAGTCCGAGAAGCAAAGCCGTAGCCCGAGGTCGCCGTCACGTCTCCGGGCGAAATGAAGGCCCGATTCCGAGCCCAAGCCCAAAAGACTCTGGCCGGCACGTGTGGAACGACGTAAATGTGTTGGCTCTTATCAGGCCAAGTTGACGGAGCCGACGCTGATGGACGGCCATTAGGGACGACGACCCATTGTGGGATTGTGGGTGTCGTGCTGGATGTAATGGGTGTGGTCCCACGGTCTTGTCCACAATGGACAGAATGAGCACATATGAATGTGGGGGCTAGGCTGCGGGTGCTATGACTACATGCTTCAGCGTTTATGCGATAAATATTACTAGAAATCATGTATGTCGTAAGCTTGCCAATATAATCCACATTTAAATTTCACTATGAACAGTAATAGTAAGCTATAGATTTTCACAAAATCTTGTTTGTAATCTACCTGTACTAAACGTGTTCTAATTTTATATTATATGTACCAAACGTGTTCTAACTTTATCTTCAACAATCTTCAGTCATATTTTTTGCAAGCAAACCTGTTTAAATTTCTTTTTAATAAAAAAGAAACAGAAGTTGTATAAGTTTGGTTTTAATAATGAAACTTTGAAAACTTAAAACTTTCTCTCCCTTGTCTTTTAGGAATTTTATATTTCACCATACACTGCGAAGGTGGTTTTATGCATGCAAAGTGATACCTTTGTAACTCAAACTTTTCTCTGTTGTCCTTTTTCTTAATAAAACAAAAACCTAAATATCTCAAATAGGTCTTTAAACAAATAGTATCTTTGGGCAAACAATTTATGTTTTTTCTTATGTTTATATTTTGGCCTTACTTAAAATTTTTTAACGCTTTATCTATTTAGCGGCATACACACTTATTTAATTTGAACCTATGTTCTTACGTGGTATTATCTAATATTCGAAAAGTGTCTACAAATTTTACGATTACGAATTTCATTAAATCGACGGTCATTTTATAAGTACTACTAGGACTATCTTCTTTGTTCAGGGAATGTAACTTGAAAATATTATTAAAGTATATTATAATGTATATTATATATTATAATTATAATGTAGTTTCACCCGCATAAACCAACAATCGTAAACGTAGGACACGCAATGAAAAGTGCGTAACGCAAGCGATGCAACGGGGAATGGTGGTGGGGGTTGGGTTGGTGTGGGGTGATGTGGCGGGGGGGTGGGCAACAACACAGACACAAACACACATCACACATACGACGCACACACATAATTAACAGTTCGTTTACGCTGCGTACCGTTGCAAACATTCATACGGTGTAAAATGGTAATTGCCACAAAAGTCATAGCCATGAATATAATTAACTTTGTTTCTGCTTTCGATGAGTTGCAAAACGTAAAATAGAAAACGTAAGTTGCGGAGCAGAGCGAAATGCTACTTTTTAAGCCGCCATTAAGCGGCTGCAATATAAACAACTGCAAAATACATAATCGTAGATATGTAAACTTACATGGCAGGCTGCCTCCAAGAAATCGTGCTGGTATAGGTGCCCCGCTGCGTTGGTGTGTGTGTGTATGTTTTACTTGTTTTTTTTTTTTTTTTATCAGTCAGCCTTTACGGCCATGCACAAACACAGACACATTCAGTCAGCATGTATGTGTATATATCCTCGGTGCAAGTTCCGTTTTTTTGTTGCTGTTTTTAACTATAAATCAATGCAGGTGGTTTTTCAACTGCACACGCACACTGGGAAAATGGAAAAACTGTTTTGATTGCTTTTCGCCTTTTCGTTCACCTTGCGTCGAAACTCGAAATTCAGGCGTGAGCTAATTTCATTTGGCTTTTTATCTAATTTTCTTTAACGCGACCCGCACACACATTCATCTTCAGTTTTTTTTTGTTATTTTTGCCTTTTCTGCTGCTGCTCCCGTGTTGTTGTTGCACGAAAATATATCATTTGCATTTACACACAACAGCGAATTCAGACTCAGTTTTTTTTTTGTGTCTCAATTTGTCTATATTGCGTTCTTTAGTCGCCGAGCTCGGCGTTTATTGCACTTGCACTTGCGCGGTGTGAAGTTCAGTCTTTTTCGGCATTATCCATGTACGTTGGATGGTTTCTGCACTAGACGGTTAATTAATTAATTTACTAAGTTTCTTCTAATGTACGCGTCGGTTGCAGGCTAGAGGTGGAGAAATATCGATATGATCGATGTCATCGATGTGGTAAAAACATGTGTGATATCGATTATTGGGATGCCATTATCGATGCTTCTTTGTAAAGCTATCGATAAGTGTGGCTAACGGCGGGTATTGTATTTTATTATTATTTATTATTATCCTCATCAACAGTGTATTCGCAATTCGCGGATTAAGCGTTGCATATGGAGTATATCTTTGCTCGTTGGTTTTTCCATCTCTAATATTTCAGCTGTGAAAAATGGTCACATCAGAATATATCAATATCGGTTCACATCATTTAATTTTACATATATTTAGAAATATGTTTTGCAAGGCTGGGGACCATAAAGAGAAGACCGTTGTTTTTTAAAATATTTTTTCAAAAGAAATTTATTAATTTTCGCAGCTGAATGAAGAGTAAAAAAGAAGTATTCGCAGCAAAAACAACATCCCAAAAATGTATCGATAAGCGATTAATTAGCATTGGGCGGCAAATTTCAAGTTTCAATAAAAAATTAAAAGGAAAACCCCATCTTCAAAAATCTTAAAAATTTACATTTTCCTTATTAACCATCTAACTTTTTAATTTTCTACCGTTTCAGAGGGCTACCTCACTTCCTGTTCCTTCGACTATCTTTCGGACAACTTCGACACCCGCCTGTTTGTGGGCACGATCTTCTTCTTCGGCTTCGTGTGTCCCACGCTGATGATCCTGTACTATTACTCGCAGATTGTGGGTCATGTGATTAGCCACGAAAAGGCACTGAGGGAGCAGGCCAAGAAAATGAACGTGGAGTCGCTGCGTTCCAATGTGGACAAGAGCAAGGAGACGGCGGAGATCCGGATAGCCAAGGCGGCCATCACCATCTGCTTCCTGTTCTTTGTGTCCTGGACACCCTACGGAGTAATGTCCCTCATCGGGGCCTTTGGGGACAAGAGCCTCCTCACTCCAGGAGCCACAATGATCCCGGCCTGCACCTGCAAGCTGGTGGCATGCATAGACCCATTTGTGTACGCCATTAGTCACCCCAGATACCGCATGGAGTTGCAGAAACGTTGCCCCTGGCTGGGCGTCAACGAAAAGTCAGGGGAAATCTCATCGGCTCAATCAACTACCACACAGGAGCAGCAGCAGACAACGGCGGCCTAGAATCAAGGATAACTCTACTCTCACACAACTGGTATCGTGATACAAAGCCTAGGGAAACTATAAAAGAACCGAAGACGAAATATTGAACAATTAATATTATAATTTGTAGAGCAACATTCCTGAGTTTATAGAAAATAAATAGTAAGTTATGGCAAAGCAAGTACAAAATTATTCATTTGTTTATTTTGATTGGGTTTTCAGATGTCAGCTTAAAGAAACAATTCATCATTTTTCTACGCTTACCTAACTAATGTCAAATTTATTTATTTTTAGGATTTGTCGTTTTCGACCTGAAAATGAAAGTTTTTGAATTAATGTTTGAAGAAACGCTATGACAACTATTTCATCTATTGATCAAATGATAAGGTCGAGCTATTTTGAAAATAGTCAGTTATGTATTTATTCGGTATTTGGGTAATATCTTTCAGATACCCATTGTGAAATCTGTTGGCATTTGTTAAACAAAATGAAAGTGAACCCCCAGGAAGAACCCCCAAGACCATCGCTAGTCCTCAGTTGCACAAAAGGGAGTGCAGTCGAATAACAGCACGATAATCGTTGTGCGACAACAGACCACGCTGCGATCGCTGGAACACCCGGTTCAGGCGCTCCACGGTGTCCCTATTGGAGGTCATCTTGAAAAGATCATCGAGGTACTTGAGCGATTCGCGTGACCAGAACATGGACGGTTTGTTGGCGTCCTTGTTGATGCTGCCACGCTCGTTCTGATCCATCTCAGCCAGCAGGCGGTCGCACTCCGGATTGAGAGTCTGGTGCAGCTGGAGATCGGCTCGCGATCGTTGCTGAGGATTATTATAGGGCATCTGGTTGAATTGCGGACGTCGAAGCTGCTGTTCCTTCTGAAGTTGCTGATTGTTTTGCTGTTGATATTGCTGCTGCTGTTGCATACGTTGCTGCTGTTGCATGCGTTGTTGTTGATGTTGCTGCTGCTGTTGTTGCTGCTGTTGCAGGCGTTGCTGCTGTTGTTGCTGGCGTTGTTGCTGCTGTTGCATGCGTTGTTGATGTTGCTGCTCCTGTTGCAGGCGTTGCTGTTGATTTTGCTGCCGCTGCTGTTGTTGTTTCTGCTGCTGCTGCTGTTGTTGTTGTTGCTGATTCGTTTGCTGCTGACCCGTTTGTTGCTTTTTCTTTGGCATTTTCGGGGGTGGAGGCGGAGCCATATGCTGCCACGACGGCGGCGGAGGAGTCGGCGAGGGAGCACGCTTAGTCGGCGATTGCGGTTGACTCTGCGTTTTCTTTTGCTGAAATCCCAGCAGCACCGGATCTAGGTGAAGCGAGGGCAGGCGATTCTTCTGATCCAGACGACCATAACTATTGAGCAGGGAGTCGTAGTTGGGATGCGGATACGCAGTGAAGATCATGCGCCAATGATCCTCGATCTCGCTGCGCATCTGTGGCGTGGCGTTATCATCCGGCGAGAACTCATCGATCAGGCGACGCAACAAGACCAAAAGCTGATCGAGATGGGTTTTACCATTCAGGAGACCCGCCTGGCCCACCAGGATCATGTTCAACTGGCGACGCTTCTTTTCGGCCATCTTAAAGCCGTTCTTGGTGTTCAACTCTTCCAGCTCCTTGATGCGCAGATAGTGGCTCTTGGCATTGCCCAGATTTGTGTTCAGACTATTGATGCCATCTCGCATAAAACGGATGAGCACATCGATCCGTTTGGGGGGTTTCTGACTCTGGAACTCGATGGACTTGCGCTTGACCTCCTGGTTGCGGCGCAGCAGTTTCACTTGCAGCTCCTCCTGGTGCCTTTTGAGGCCGTAGATCACCAGAACATACCCGTAGTCCTTGAAGTCCATGCGCACGCTTACTTGGCACTGCTTGGCGGCAGCGGCCAGGAAGTTTCGGCCCTCAGGACTGAACAGATACTCGGATTGGTCGCGCGCCATAATGATCTTGCCCTCGCTTGGGATATCTGGCAGCTCTTCACTGGAGTCCGGATCGATAAATTCGGCAGTGTTTTGGCTACTGCTGGCGTTAACACACATGGAAATGCCCTGGCCTTGGGGGGAGATTTCGAAATCGTCATCCAGGCTTCCACTCAGGGGTATGACATCGGGCAGAGAGGCCATGGGATGATCGAGAGGTAGTTGAGTGGTAGGTTGATCCTCCTGATCCTCGGTGGTTGTCGAACTGGGCACCTCGAAGTGCTCGGAAAAACTGTAATTCGAATCAGAGTCCAGCTCATGGGGTGCCACCGATGGTTTAATTTTGGCGGTCTCCATTTGTGGAGACTGATAGTTGGTAGTAATCTCCTCACGCTGAATGGATACCGATGAATCTTCCTCAGCGGGCTCATCCCCAGGCTGCTCCTCATCTGGTTGTTCCTCATCTTGTTGTTCCTCATCTTGTTGTTCCTCTTCAGGTTGTTGCTCTTCAGGTTGTTCCTCTTCTGGTTCCTCGTCTTCTGGTTGCTTCTCTTCCGGCTGCTCCTTTTCCAGTTCTACTTCAGGTTGCACTTCATCAGTTGCTGCCTCATCAGGTTGCTTCTTTTGTTTTGTAGACGATCTCTTAACCATTCCAGTTGGGTCCTCTCCCCGAGCCGCCCTAACCTGAGCGTTGGGCACGTAGTCATGGGTATAAACCTTCGCCGGAATCTCCGTTAGAGCAGTGGTTGACTTCCTTTTGACTGGCTGAGTCCTGGCCAAATTGACATGAATGAGGAACCTAGCATAGTAGCAATTTTTGGGGATATTCGGATTGTTCCATTTAAAGTTGAATGGAGTTTGAATGGCAAAGAAGCTACTCAGATCGCCAAGATAACCCACGGGTTCTCCGCGATTCTTGTAGATCTTCTGGTGCGACACAATTTGGCTGGTGTAGTTGGTGCTGCGAAAGTCACCAATTCGCTGTCGGCAGTTCTCGAAGAGATGGCGTCCGGCGCAGTAGCTGCACTGTTTATTCCTGTACTGCACCCTGCTATCCAGCTCTACATTGGATCGAGTCTGTCGGAGATTAAAGGAAAATTTAAACTACTTGCTGCAAGGAATGGTATGTCTGGGTTACGGTTACCGTAGAGTGGTAGCGACGCCACTTGTCCGGGCAGTGATCCGTGCCGTGGCCTCTCATCTTGCACAGCTGACAGACCAGGCGGCTGTGGAAGGAGCACTTGTTGCACTGCTGCACATAAATCGCCTGCTTTGATCCGCACTAAAAAATACAATTTATATTTAAGTAAAATTTAATAAGTGAAAAAAGGAAATGCGATTGTCAGATAAGATGTACGACCTACCCCAAAACAGATGGCATTGGGACAGCGGGGTTCGGCATGACCCACAGTGCCGCATAGAAAGCAAACGAGTGGCTTGCGAGGACGTGGGCACTTGGATCTTACGTGACCCATCTCAAAGCAGTTAGTGCACTTGGCATGCGAACGGGGTCGTGCTACCGGATACCTATCAGCAGTGTTGATCCTCCACTCCTGGCGATGCGCTGCAATAACGGATGGTTAACAACTCAAGATCTATAAATTCCGTAACAGTTTTAGGCACTCACCGCTCATGCTTTTATGAAGTTTGTGAACAGAGAAGTGTTCGCCATTCCAGCTGTCATTGTAAAAGCGGCACATCTCCTCGTTCCAGCCAATGAGTTGACCGCCCGTGGGCAGACTGTCATCCGTTAGATGTGCCACATTGTGCTCCACTTGGACGGCAGGTTCCTCCATCGTAACATCCCCATCCCCATCGTGCTCCTCTGGGGCGGCCTCCTCAAGCTCGTTGGAGGCATCCAAATCCTCTTCGGATCTCACCGTGGTATCTGCAGTTTTTTCTCGGGAATCTTCTTCATCGGAAAGGTAGCCGCTGACATCCATTTGTTCCTCCTCCTGCGATTTTCGAGCTTGTTCATCAATGCGCTCAAACAGCGCCGCCAAACGATCCGTCATGGCATCGTGAAACTCTGCTTCGGCTTGCGAATCAGCGTCGTCGCCAATGGAGACAGCATCGGGGGCATCAGTGTTAGCTTCTTGCACCTGTTCTTTTCCCCGACCTTTCTCCTGATTTAGCAATCTCTCGGCTATCTCCCTGGCACTTGGCAGTTGCTCCTCGGAAGCTGATTCCGAGCTGGCCTCATGGCTCGTAGATAACTTTGGTGTTTGAATACGTGCAGCTTTTTTCGGATTTTCATCAGAGTTTCGCCGTATGCTGATTCGGCGAATCTTGCGCTTGCATCGCTCCACTGCCATCCCACGGGCTATGCCAGGAACTCCAGTTGAATGGGCCCCATCATCGCTGTCTGAATCATTCAACCCATCCTCGTTGTTGCCGTCCGACTGGCTGTGATTGTTTGTTGAGCAGGAGCGCTTACGCAGACGCTTTGTCTTCTGCACACTGACCTCCACTACCTCCTCCACGGACGAGCTGCCCGAGGGCGAGTCCACGTTGCGTATGACCGTCGGCGTGGCTCTTGACTTGGCCTTCGAGTAGATGCCACTCTCGGTGAGGTCGGATTCGCTTTCGTAAACGTCTAAAGCTCTGAATTGTTGCTCATCCACTCGATATTTTTGCTTAATCTGCTCCAGACGCGAAGGGGGAACGAATTCATATTCCGACGAGGTATCAGCCGCAGGATCTGTTTCTTGAGTTTGAGAAGTGTTCGTTCCACCCACAACCACAACCTCTTTGTCATGGCCAATGGATTCCCTTATAGCATTCTCTGTCAGAACAAGAAGATCCTCATCATTGGCTTTCTTACGTTCGGCCAACAGGCGACTGGTATCCTTCTGGACTATAAAGTCATCGCTGGACATGACAGAACAACAGGGCGAATGCATGGATGGGGTGATGTTGCCAGTCCCTACTCCCACCTCTTCTTCCGGCTCAGTAACGCAAGACAATCCCATTTTCATATCCGTCGCGTCCATGGCGTTCTCCTCGTGAAACAACTGAGATGAAGTGCAGGCCTGCTCTTCATCGCTCTCGTCCAGTTCGATGATGGGAGTTGGTGACAGTGGCACATGCACCACATCGTCGTCATCTGAGGATTGGCTGCTATCTGCCAGGTCCACAAACTCCACCAGTGCAGACTGCTGCTTGCGCTGCTTTTTGTTCAACTGAACTTGTTTGGATTTCTGTTTTTTGGCAGCCAGGCGCTCCATCTGCTCCAGCTTGCGCTTGGCCTTGCCAAAGGGTCCAGGTCCTGGTTGTTGCTGCTGCTGCTGCTGTTTGTTCTGTTGCTGCTGTTGCTGTTTCTTCTGCTGCTGTTTATTTTGCGGTTGCTGCTTGTTTTGCTGCTGCTTGTTTTGTTTCTTGGGTGGGCAGTTTGGTGGGATGGCTATTAGCAGTCTCTGGTCGAAACGCTCCTCTTCGTAGGCTTCCTGGTTAGTTTTGGCGGGTGAAGTGGCCTGCGGTTTTGGTTTTTGTACTACTGGCGGCTTCTTTTGCTGATTTTGCTGCTGCTTCGGCTGTTGATTTGGTTGCTGCTTTGGCTTCTGACTTTGCTGCTGCTGCTGCTTTTGTGGCTGATTTTGTTGTTGTTTTGTCTGTTGATTTTGCTGTTGTTTTGGTTGCGCATCTTGTGGCAGTTTCGGCTGCTGATTTTGTGGCAGTTTCGGCTGCTGATTTTGTGGCAGTTTTGGTGTCTGATTTGGCTGCTTGGGCAACGGTTTTTTCTGTGGACTTTGATGCTGTTGGTTTTGCCGCTGATTTGGTGGCTGAATTGCTGGCTTAGATTGGTTTGGCGTTCCCTTTTTGGGTGTCAGCAAGGGATTTTTGTTTTTAGGCTTCTCGAAATCCTTGGGTGATAAGGAGGAAGATACTGCAGCATCTAAAAGACAAACATGAAATCATATGGCTTTTTAATATCTGTGTTGTATAGTATTATTAGCAATCAAGATTATTTTTATTTTAATATGTTAATAAAGCCTACCTCCTAGCTGAATTTCCCTACTTTTTTATTATCACAGATCCATTAAAAACTTCACTCTACCTAAGCCAGCATGAGCACAAAAAACCCATATTCCTTACTCCGTCTGACCAATTAAAAAAAAAAAGTACTTTATAAAAGGTTATCTTTAATTTTTGGAGACTTTCAATACCAAAGTGGATTTAACATATGGCTCAGACGGGCATTGGTTATGTCCGGTAACTCCACATCGTTCAGCTTGTAGCCATGGAGTTCCAGCTCCGAAAGTTGTGATTCGCTGATGTGAAAGAGGACAAACGCCTCCGCCAGGAGGTCGGATCGGTTGGGCCAGAGTAGAACACGCACTGCGGTGCGAAACTCGTCGATTGCCTCCCTGATCAGCTGCTGAGCTTCGGAAAGATTCTCGGGGGGAGTCATCATCTTGTCACCCATCTCGGAATGCTTGGCCTGCACCTTAAGGGCGTCCTCCAAGTTCCTCACTAGCCGCATAAACACGAACCGTCGGTAACGTTCTTCGAAGTACGGCCTGGGCATATCGTGACGACTCATTTGCCGGCGAACCAGGGCGGAGAAGATGATGCCGTCCACACAAGAGCCCAGAACGCTCACACTGGCAATCAGCACGATTCCGGAGAGCAGGTACTCCACGAGCCGCTGGTTCAGCTCCTCGCACCAAAAGAATAGGTCTCGGCCGTGCCGCACGAGTTGGTAGTGGAGCAGACTCACAATGCAGACCAGGTCGAGAGTTGCCAAGGCCAAGGTGCAGTGGTTTAAGTGGACCAACCACCTGTGAAGCACTTGCAGGCCGCACCTCCCAAGGCCTAGCAAACGACTGAGAAAGCAGGGCATCATCGAGGAGTTATGGAGAATTTTGGAATGCACGCCAAGGAAACAGAACAGTTTTTGAAAGGTAGTGCCCAAAGCCGGGTTGATTTTGTAAAGGGGAGTTTCAAAATTTCAAAAAAGAAATCACGTAATTTGATTTGAAATTGATGAAATTGGTCAAAATAAAATCGAAAAGTAAATAAATGGATGCAGAACGTTGAATGTATTGGATATTAGATGTATATCGAAAAGGATTAAAAGAAGTGAAATCATAGAAACGTGCTTAAGTTATAAGCACAAATCACTTTTGTCATAAACAAATGTTTTGTTCAGTTTCCTGTTTCTTAAGTTAGTTGGCAAATAAATGTCCCAAACCATATAAAATTGTCAAACTTTAGATATAAGATGTCCTACGCAAGGTACTCTAGTAAAGACTTTGATTTGTTCCTGTTCTTTAATATATAGATGGTGTATATTTCCACTACTGATTGCCTCTCACCTGGGATTGTTTTGTTTGTGGTCGCCTGCAGCTCCTCCGCCTGCGTCACCTGCCCCTTACCATGCCTCTCACTTTCCCCTCCTCCTCCCTCCGCCCAGTAGCGTGATTTCAGTTTTGGGCCCGCATTGTTGTTGTTGATCACTCGCGTCCCGCTGACGAAACGCTGGCCAGGATTTGGCTGCTGCTGCTGCGAAGGCGGTGGCATACTTCTGGCATCCTGCTCGCTAGTTGACTCCATCGCTGGCTGATCCAGGGCACCTTGCTCGTCCGTTCCATCGCTGTAGTGGATCGAGGCGTAGAGAATCGATTCCAGCTCGTTCAGCCGTTCGCTGTCCATCTCCTCAAGCTGCGGATTCGGATTGAGGGCTATGACAATAGGTCAATTGGAATTATGGCCAGCACTCACATCACTCATTCTGCGCGTCTTTGTTTTCCTTTGCCTTTGATTTGGTTTTCTTGCGCATTGATAAAAAGTAATATAAAGAAAAAAGAGCACGTTGATGGCAGAGCACTAGTGATGGACATTCGGAAAAGAGAGAGGTAATCGAAGCAGTGATGGCAATCTGGCTATCGAAATTAGTGACTATCGAATGTTAAACAAGCTGATTTATAAGAAAGGATTACATAAAGGTATTGAAGGTAAAATTAATGATTTACATATATATTTGTTTAAGTTTTAACGCATATTACTTGAACTTACATTTGAACAAATAATTATTTCTGCTATACATAATAAGGAAAACAAAAGTTTTTAGATATAACTTTTCACAGTATATAGCATATAAATACTAAAAATGTTGCTGTTTGTTTGCTTTTTAAGATCTTTTCGAACTTACTAATATCCAATAATTAATAGATTATATGGAAACTATTAAATAGTTCACTTTTTGACTTCACAATACAAATTAAATTCTTCCTCCCAATTGTGTTGTTATTTGGTTGACTCGATAGTTGTAAACTCTATCGATTGTGGGGGTGCCGGCCGATGCCGATAACGATAACGAGTAGAGCAACCCTAGCTGCCGGGCCACGTACAATTTGCGACAAAAAATAACAAGAAGTAATTAAAGCTAAAATACAATGTAAGTTGGCCGAAAGTGTGTTAAATATATGGCCAAACTGACGATCTTCCATTCTTTCAGTATGGATGTGATGCAGCGTTACGTTTCGCCCGTGAACCCGGCCGTTTTCCCCCACCTCGCCACCGTGCTCCTGATAATCGGAACCTTCTTCACCGCCTGGTTCTTCATCTTCGTGGTTTCCCGGAAAAGCTCCAAGGAGAGCACCCTGATCAAGGAACTGCTGATTAGCCTGTGCGCCTCCATCTTCCTTGGATTCGGCATCGTATTCCTGCTGCTAACCGTCGGTATTTACGTATGAGATACAATCTAGGCAAAGACCATTCCGTATAGAAATAAACTAAAGATATGTCCGTGGGCGTGAACGTACATGAGGCCTTCTTTTTTATTAAGGTTTATTGTAATTCCAATTTTAAAGATTCAATTTGCGCTTAAAACAATATCGAATATATATTATGCTAACATATAAATCGTCTACACGTGCACACACTCCCCCGTCGAATAAGAAATCACGGCAACTTTTGAAAATATTGCTATTCTATCCGGCCAGTCCGGCCTTCTGTCTGCACTTTTGCATGGTGGCACGTAGGATAAACTGCTTCCGGGAGAGCTGCCGCACGTGCTTGAGGAAGGTTTCCAGGTCGATGACCCCGCCACGGAGCCCCTCGCCCAAATAATAAATGGCATCCTCGGTGGCCGCCTCATCGGCATAGGCATTGAGTAATCTGTGAATAGATATTGAGTTAAAGCTATTTTCTAGGGACAAAAGGATAAATTGGAAGTCCCAGAAATGGACAATAGGGCTGTCAGGTTCTATGTCCTCTTCATTATCTGAATGGTAAGTACTAAAATACCAGCTTTATAAACCACATTAAGATATCAGGCATTTTTTGGTTCTCAGAGAAATTTGATCATTTGTTATAAAGAACTTATAGATAATATTGTTTTATCATCCGCAAGTTTATAAAAATGCTCTAAATGATTAACTTTTGGATATTAAGTAACAATGTGAGAATCTAATTTGATCAATAGAAAAGTGAAAATCATAACCTAAAGTTTTAAGTGACACCCCAATTTGTAATCAACTTACTGTCGGTATAGCGGCGCTGTGGTGGTCACCGCCTCGTCGGGATCAATGGCTTCGGCGCTTTCCAGCGTTTCCAGACTCTTCTCCAGCTCCTGCTCCTTGTCCTTCAGCACACTAATGTTCTTTTGCATATCAACCTGTTCGCGTTCGAGGCGCGCAATGATGGCATCGATTTTGGAACTGCCCTCAACCAGTTCCTGCTTAGTGCGATTAAGAGTTTCGATCTCGGCTTGATACTGATTCACCTTCTCCTGGATGCGACGGCGCAGCTTGTCCTCCACGGCGCTGATGAGTGATGCTTTGATGTGCTCCTCGGTTATGGTGCCCGTGGAGCTGGGATTGGACGAGGGATTCTAAAGGGGAACCGAATTATTACACCTTCTTCTGTAATTTGAATATTTTTTTAGGCTTACATATCCCCCGGCTGGTGGGTAGCCACCGCCACCCGGCTGCGGGAAGTTCATGTAGGGCGGATAGCCGGCGGATGGACCAGCTGGACCAGCGCCTCCCGGCGGATACGGTCCGAAGTTGGAACCCGTAGGATATGGCGGAAAGTTGCCGCCACCAGCTCCGCCAGCTGTGGGATAAGGCAGAAACGAGTTGCTGCCACCGGGTCCGCCAGGCTGAGACATGAAGGCTGAAAAAAAGACAATATAAGTTATATGAACATTGTCACACGGATGGAAAGAACCTCCACTCACAGTTTGTGGGATATGGCGCAGCGATTTGTTCCTTGGGCTTTGAGTACACCGGCGGATGATCGCCGAAGGTCACGATCATCACCTGGATGAGCGAAAGCAAGTCGGAGGAGTGCGGCTGCCAGTCGTGCAGGTAAGGCAGGTAGACCTTTCCGTTGTGATCCACGTACATCGAGACTTTTATCTGCATGGTGGGCGTGGGCTTGACAAAACACATGGGTGCATTTTGCGGATGTGTGTCCATCAACCATATACAAATGGGAATGTAGTAGGTGTTATCTGTTGGTGAAGAGAACACATTTACATTATCACATACTATCAAGAGGCACACTTGACTATAATTAATTACTTTTGTAGACCACGGGAATAGTGCCCTGTATGGTGAACAATTCCTTGGAGCTGCCATCGTTGAATACTGAAATGGTGAAATATTTGTAACAATGTATATACTACCCAGGTGGGATGCTGTTATCAGCTGATTCTTACCGAACCTCTGCAGGTCGTAGGTCAAGCTGCGATACGATGTGACCACATCCACCACGTCCTTTTTGGTGGCACCCACATATTTATACTGCAATCAATTTCATTATTATCGTTAATTGCGTTGCGTGCAGAAGAAAGGAAAGAGGAAAATCCCAGAGAGTGGGTGCATGACTCATAGACGGGCCTCACCTTTGATAGATACTTTGTTATTTGTGTCTCCTCGACCGCGGGCATTATGCTTGGCAAACCAGATCGGCTTAAATCGAATTCCTCTTCAAATTCGTCTAAGATTTAGTGATTTTTCGTAGGCAAGTTCACAGCAAATTTGTTGAATGAAAACAAAGTGATAGTATCGAAACGCTGGCCTAGTGTGACCGTCTGATTTTTGGTGCTATACAGCACAATACGGATTTCTGACTCATTGCCAAATGGTCACTTTTGGCCAAAACTTTATGCCGGAAAAGTTTTTTTTATTCGGTTTTCCCCATATTCGTACCGAATTTTTGTGCAACAAAATAAAACTACCTATATTCTATAGAATGGCACTTTAAATTATGACAAAAAATACTATTTAGTTATTGTATTTTTGAATAACCAGTGATGCCACCCTTTTAAATTGCTATCGCCAAAAACCGTTACATCTCAGTCAATAGCTTAAAATGAATACAGCAAAAGCAAGTGAATTTGCTGTTCTAAACGCTCCTTAAATGCATACAATACAAAATAAGTAATTAGTTAATTAATAAGTACATTTAGAGCACACAAAGAACACATGACATAAAAAATATCTTAAGTCCAATCTCTTTTCTGGCCGTCTAGGGAGTTTATTTTTATTTATTTAATTTTTTTTAAGCTATATAAAAAATAATCTAATAAAAAGAGATCAATATTCGTATTTCATATTAAAAGTATAACCATGATATTATTTAAAATCATTACATATTTATAAAAACTTAAAAATGGATCAATGTTTTAGTACTCTTAATTCCAGTACTCTTGAACGACTCTATTTAATTTAGAATTGTAATTTCACTTTTGTTTAAAAACAAACCAACAATGTATGGCAAGGGAAAGTTCAATGGCTTTAAATGATCTTAGCACTTTTGGTTTTATGGCTCTAAATTTTTAGCTTAATTCCAGTTGCCCATTCTGATTTTAATTAACCAAATCTTATACAGATCGGAGCCCTCGGGCCACAATTAAGCTTAAAAAGCGCCAATTGACGATTGGTTTATCTCTGCAAAATAAATCCATGTACCGACCCATTGCTCCACTCGTTAAGCCTAACTGGACCCAGAAATTGGTGCAAGTCGTTAAACTTTTTCGAAGCACTTTGTCGCGAATTTCAATTCCGTCGCGGATTTCGCTTTGACAGTAATTACTTCCAATGTCTCAAGTTCGCGCACATAAAATTTCGATTTCAAGGAAGGTCAGCTCTAATGCCTTTTGTTACTGTTTGCTTTGCTGATTGATTTCTGGCCAAAGCGCAATCAGTGAACAAGTACAGTAGCCAAAATGTTGCCCTATCTTTAAGGGTAGATCAGCAGTGGCATTGCTGGGATATTGTTTTAATTGTTGGGGTGTTCTAGAACAACATCTTCCATAAAAATTTATTAATGCTAATATCACCTTTGCATTAAATAATGCTCGTGATTTAGATATTACAAAAACGTTTTACAATTTTTACTTCCATAGCTTGAGAAATTAAAAATGTATAAAAATAGACTGGGTATGGCTGCTTCGGTTGGATGGTCTTTTTTGGTGGAATGGCAAGTGCTTTTGGGCAATTGGCTTCTTGTGCGTTTTGCCTTCGGCCAAATACAAATTGTTGGTCATGTGTACTTGAACTCGCTTGAAGCGCTCGGCTGAAGTTCAAATCAGAAGTGAATTCACATAAATCACTTTGGGCACACTCTGGCTGGCTGACTGCCGATTACTCATACGCCTCGTGGTCGCTTTTAATTAGCTAACGCGATTCTTATCACTGTTGGCCACAGCTACTGCTGGGGAACTCAGGCTGGAAGCCAACCTGAAGCTACTTCAGCTCCGGCTATGCACTATGAAAAAACTATGTTCATTTTTGTTCTGAAACTATAGTTTTTATAAAAGACAATTTGTAACACCACAATTTTAACAATATCTCTGATACCATAGGAACTTTGATCTTTTATTACTATTTCATGTATATACTGAGTAATAATAAATAAAACCGAAAATTTGGTATAGCCACCTTTTGTAGAATCTACATAGACTTTTGGTTGGCTGGTCTTATTTGTTCCGTTGTTTTTTTTTAATGATTTCGTAAGTTTCAATATATGGCTACTTTACCAATAAAGCATTTTTGATTGAAAAAGATTTCCGTGACACCCCTGATAATAAAGTAATATATCTTAAGAAATATCCAAATATTTTTCTGTGTGGCTGTGCTGCTTTTGTAAACTTGATTTTCTCAACCGCGTTGACCTCCGGCCAGCTGTATGCTTCGTCTTCTGCCACCGCGATAATGATAATCATCGTAATAATCGCGTTCCTCGGATCTTTGTGTGCGTCGTCTATTCTCTCTTTTGGCTGTGAAATCTTCTAGCCCATGTCCCAAGGCCAGCCAAATTACAACAAAGCTCTGGGCTGCGGCAATTGAGTTCATTATCATAATAACCCATTGACCAACTAACTGTTGTAAGTTTTTATTTTTACTTATTTTTTGCCGTGGACAACATTTTTCATTGGCCTGGAAGGTATCGCTCTTAACGCAGCTCAGAATCGAAAGTAGAATAATATATGCGAGATTGCGGGATTGGACCACCCACGTTCTCGAAATCGGGCGATTGGATCTCGTTCAGAAGTCATCAATTTTGTCAACCGAATCTCACAGCTCGATTAATCACTTCACGCCTGCCAATGACTTTTAATGAGTTGCCTTGTGAGCAATAAATTTAATTAAAACAATTTCAGCACTTTGAGGCCGAGTACTTGACCCAAACAGACGATCCGGGCCGAAGTTCTAGCCTGATGAATCCGTTTCGGCATAATGGACTTGGTCAGAAGCGGAAGTGGGCAGGCAAAGCCCGGCTAATTGGCTGCCATTATGTCTTTACATTCGA